ACAAGGTGGGTCAGACATCATCAAAAAAGATTATGCTGGTTGCAAAGAACAGGTACAGAGAAAAGGGAACTCCAAAGTTTGGGTGACATCAAGCTTCTGCATAACCAATGACAAATTAGTCTGAATGTGTGAACTGAGGAAAAGAGAACCTTGCCTCCTAGGAAAGACAAAAGTACTGCTCCTGCATGTAGCTCTGGTAGAAGGCATTTGATTAGTATCCCAAAAGATATAAAAGTTTTTTTTTAAGGTAAAAAAAAAAAAAAGTGCCCCCCCCCAGACTCAGGAAACTGGACTGGAAAAGATCAAACTTGTCCTTGCCCCAAAGCACTTTGCATTTACCCCAAGAAAATTTGCTGCTTTGCTCTTGCTACAATTAAGGAAGATTTCTTTTCATCCAAACCCTGGTATTCAGAAAAGTCTTTTCATCTTCTCAGCAGCCATTTGCACTTTTGAAGCACAGGATTTCTCAGGAAACTGCCAGGATTGATGCTGATTTCAAAGTCTGTAGGGGCACAGCCTCTGCTCTTCACGCCCGGTGTGCTCTGTCGAGCAGACAGGACTCCCACCAAGCGAAGGCACAAGGCATCCTGCCGTCCTCTGAACACCAGCCCAGCCACCTCTGCAGGGCCAGGAGCTCTTGGCAGCTGACACTAATGACCAGTGCCCCACAGGCCCTTATCAGCTGGGTAGTTCTGGAGCAGCTCTGCCTGGTGTGGCACAGCAGGGCTGGTGCTGCCACAGCCCCTGCCCCACCCGCGGCCAGGTAAACATCCGAGCAGGAAACATAAAGCCACCTTCACTCTCCGATAAAGCCCAGCACTTTCCCCAGCTGCCTCCCTCTGCCCAGACAGCCTCAGAACAGAGCCTCAGCACAATGCTGAGATCTGCAGGCAGGGGCACGAGAGCTGGGCCATGTGGCAGAGGAACTGCAGTCATAGCTGTGCACAGTGGGGACCAGCCAAGGCTGTCCAGGCTGAGGAGGAAAGCCAGCCCAACCCTAAATCCTATCACATCCACCACACCCCAGGTTTCCTTTGGCAGAGGGAAGGCCAAAAGGCTCCACTCTGGGAGCACAGGGCTGCCCAGAAAGCCCCAGCTTTCCTCAGGTCTCAGAAAAATAACCTGTAGCCGGAGTCTCTTTCCACCTGGGGAAGAGGTTGGAGCCCAGCTCCCAGGGCAGTCACTTGTGCCACTCAGCTAAGCCCTGGCATGCACCAGAGGGAGGACAGTCTCCACCCATCCCATCAAGGGATGCCCATGAGCCCTACCAGCAGGCTCTCCCTCTCCACTGGCTCTGGGATGCCTTTGCTCAACTGCTTCCTACAAGGGTTACTGGCTGACAAGGTAAGGATATCAGCTGGCGCCAAAGCTAAACCTGGTATCTTTTCACACCACAGGATGCAGTCCCATGATTTATTTCAGACCATCAAGTTCAGTTTTACCACTAAATCAAGCTTCAAGTTTATAAAACTGTTCAGAGGACCATGCTTGAAAAGAAAACCAAAACACTCAAATACCCAATTATGATCCAATTCTGTATTTTATATAAATTCTGAGTTTTTAAAATACCACAAATAGATAAAATATCAGCCTAAGCAGGGATGAATTCATTTTACAGTGGTCAAAATCAGCAACAAACATGTTGGGATTTCATCTTCTTAACGTATTTACATAACTGGGCTGTCTTGAAACCATTTTTTCATTGGAAAACTGGTTTTATAAGAAAATGTCCAGTTTTACAGACTCCAAGAGACACCCATCCTTAATGGAACTGGGAGGCTTTTGACATGACAAAACAGCAAACATCTGTTCTGCCCATATTTTAGGTCAGATGCTCAAGATTGCTACCACAAACCACAAAAATCATCTCAATAACAAGGTTTATCAGACAGTTACATGTATTCAGCTGGAAATAAAAAGCCTCAATGTTTATCAAAATCAAATGCAACCAAACAGGCAACAGCTCATGTTACATGAGGAATGGAGGGGATGGGGTCTGTCAACTGCACTGCTTTTCAGACCACTCCATTTATCAGCAGCTGCTCACACAACGTGCTGCTTGCTTCCTCCATCAGCTCCCAGCCTCAATGGGATTTCACTGAGAACCACCCTGTGCATAGGTCAGCTCTACAGAAACTATTACCCTGTATGTGTGGTGTCCATTCGTGTCTCAGAAAGAACTTTTCTCAAATTCTACCCCACTGACTCACTGCAGAGTATCACACAAACAGCAGTAAAGACAAGAGCCTTTCCTACTCCTGTAGGCAGCCCAGCTGGCTTTGGTCTGGAGTTCATTACACTGACCAACACAAGTTTGGGGTTTTTTCTGAACAAAGACTGCAATAAACTGTCCACCAGAACCCTACAGTTTTAAAAAGAAATGTAAGCCAGAAACACCTGTGAAGCATCCGTCCTAAAGAGACGGGAAACTCCACAAGAAAGTCTCATGAGCAGCACTTGTGAAATCTCCATACTCAGCTCTCTCCAGGAAGACCATCCAACACAAGCAAGAAACCAGAAGTATTCTCACAAAAAGATGCTCGTGATGTATTTGAGGCTGAAGCAGCCTTGAACACATATTTCAAGTGGAAAGTGAGGCAAGGCAGTGATAGAAGACAAGGTAAGAGCAGTTGTGGAAATGCCACAATCTTTCATCTGCTGCTCTTCTAAGGCACAACCAGACAGCTGAGGCACAATGGTGATGAGGGCCATAAATACCAAGATAAACTCTAAAGCTTTACAGCACAAGGATGATGGTGCCAGAAGCCAAACATGAGCACCTGGCAGCCTGACAGGCTGAATTTAGGCACCTGGTTCAAAGAGAGCTGCAAGACACCCAGTTCAGGCCTATGTCTGGATGGATGTCTCTCCTGGCATCCCACCACGCCAGCACATGGAACAGCACGGTGATCCCACCAGTGCATCACTGGAACAGGCTCCACTGGCTACGTGGGACAGCACTGACCCCACGGACAGCACACCCAAACTGCAGGGCTCAGTGTCAGGGTGCTGCTGCTCCCCCATGCCCAGGGCAGGCAGCCCAGCCCTGGGCACCCCTGCTCAGTGCTCCTCACGAGCACAGCTGTGCACCCACCCACCTCCAGCACAAAGCAAGCATAAGTGCTGAGCAGGGAGAGCTGCGACCTCTCAGGCTCCCAGGGTAATCTCTTATCACAGGTTAGAGCCTCCCCACCCTCACTGGCCCCAGGCAGCCCCTGTATCTTGTAACACAATAGGACCAAGGCCCTCACAACCTCTGGCAGATGTCAGTCCTACAGCCACAGCTCACCCCATCCTGTGAGGGAAGAAGGGCGCTGTGCCAGAAATGTCTCTGGTGAAAACACAGGTAGCAAATAAAATAAGCGAGAATATGTAAAGTCATCACACAAGGAGAAACAGACTTTTTAAAACAGGTCAAAACTGGATCAGATCTTTTTTTACATGTTAAGGAGAAGACTTGCCAAGAATTTCACTCCTGAGCCCAGGAGAGAAATCCAGGAGCCTTACGAGCAAACCACAGGAAAGATTAATGACTTGAAGTCTTGGAGGGGAAATTAAAAGCGTCAGAGGGGTCACAAGAGAAAGCCCTGATAAGAGCTGCTAATTGTCAGCATTTACGTCACCACCATTGGAGGGGCTATTTTATTACATTTTAGTCTCTAGGGTCAGAATTTCTCATGAGGTGGTTATTTTTGCTGCTTTGCTGATCTATGTCCCTTGGTATGTGCCTATAAGCATTGACAAAGGCGAACACGAAAAGCTAAGAGCAGGTAGGGGTTTAGACACCCTTCTGCCTGAGAGTCTTTTGCTGGAAGGAAATGGCAATAATTACCATAACAATGAAGTAAATATCACTTCCCTTACAGTAAAGCTGCTTTCATGTCCCAAAAATGCTTTAGAAAAATGAAGCATTATTAGTGTAATCGAAGGAGATTACACAGAAAACTAGTTACTCACCCCCCACTCCCCGCGGGTTTAACAGCACTTGTGAGCTCTGCCCTTCCTGCAGTTGGCAGCTTCCCCGTGGCACCTGGGCTCCTTCAGGCAGTGGGACCCCATGGCAGGAGGCATTTACAGAAATTCACAAGTCTGACCATCCTGGTCTTCTTTAAGGGCAGTTCACGTAAATTCAAGTTCTGGCATATTCCACTTCCCGCAGCCCTTCCTCACCTGGGGTATGTGAGCACTTCAAAATTGTGCAATGGTGGCAGATGCCAGAGCCCAAGGCTAACAGCAGCTCGCTGGATGCCTCTGTTTTGCCGAGGGATTGCTGGAACGAGGAGCAATCCCTTCGTTCCCATTCCCATAGGGGGGCAGCCAGCCCCGACAAGGGTCTCTGTGCAGTGCACCCCACGCAGAGCCGAGCAGCAGTTCGGGGTTCGGGGCCCGTGGCTCTGGCGGCCCGCAGGGCGCGGCGGGGCAGGGCCCAGTCCCGGCCGAGCACCTGTGGGGCAGGTGGGGACAGGGCAGCGAGGCAGGGAGCGCCGGCGCCTCACAGCCAAACGCTGGGGCAGAGGAGGGAAAAGCCACGTACAACGCTAAAATTGCTTCTATGCAAATTTTTTGCCATTTCCTAACTAATTTCGCTTAAAGCGGGGGGCAAGAAGGAACAGAGACGGGCAGAGGCACTAAATACACCTTAACATGGCTACTGTAAACAAAGGCTCTTAACTATACATGGCAAGCAAAGGCAGGCGAGCATTCAGCCCACCTCGGTGAGCCGGGCTCCCACAGGGTGGGCTGCCAAACCCGAACCAGGGTCCCTATGGACAGGCTGAGGAGGGAGGTTCGGTGGGAAGCAAGGACCCCGGTCTGCTACAGGTGAAGGGGCTGAGTGCGCGACCACTGATTTCTCCGTAAACATAAAAAGCCTGAACAAACTAAAAACAGACGGGAGAAAAAGACAACCCCACCTCCCGCCCCGGCTTTGCCGTTCTGCCACCTGCCAGCCCGAGCCGACCCCGGCCGCCCCCAGCACCGCCCGCCGCAGGCCACCGTACCCGGGAGATGGCGAGGGGCTGCTCGAAGTCGCGGCCGCCCACCAGGCGGAAGCCCCAGGGCCCGGGGCCCGAGAGCACGATGCGGTGCGTCCCCATGTGCGCGCTGCACCTCGCGGGTGGCTCCGACAGCCCCGCCGCCCGCACCGGCCGGGCCCGGCCCGCCCCGGGGCAGCAGCGGCCGCTCCCCCGCCCGCCCGGCCGGGAGCCGCTCCGCCGCGCTCCGGGGTCAGGCCCTCCGGGGCAGGGCGGCTGCCGGGGTCGGGAATCCCGGCGCCCCTCACCCGCTCCCTGCTGGCAGGCAGGACAAGCCTCCGGCAGGCAGCCGCGCGCAGGAGTGCCCCGGTGCGGCATCTCCCCGGCACTCTCCAGCCTGGAGCAGTGTTAACGCTGAAACCTAATGGGGGCGATGGAAATAAGCGGCCCTGCCTGCAGTTTCCCCGCCGGGATGAGTGACGGTGGAGCCTCGGAAGGGTGTTACCTCTCTGCTAATTTGTCCCAGCGATGTCTAACTGATTTAGACAGCGTTTTGTTTATCTCTAGCCCCTTAAGCACGGTACCACCAATAAAAGGAATTATTCTATACAGGTTTTTCAGCCAACCTTCTTATCTGTGATTCAGGAAAAATAGTTGTTTCAGTTGCATATTAAGCCCTCAGTAATCTGATGGTGGACAAGTGGGAAAGGTTGGTCACAGCAACGGCATTGGCATTTACAACTGGAGTGCCAGCATTGCTGCTCATTTAGTTAATGAATACAGCTCACCCATAAGCACAACATCAGCGAGCTGTAGCTGAAGCTGGGATTCAGCCGCAGCTGGGGAGCAAGGAGCAGGCAGCAAGCAGGAATGGTGCAGGTCACACAGGTACTGGTCCTACAAGACATGGCCACACATGATCCCATCGCAAGGCACACTCTTGCTTCTGCAATCCCCTTTTGTGGTTGTGCCCTTTTTCCTGCATTAGCCTATCTTTTCACAGGTTATTTCTTTCCAGGGTCCATGTATCCAGACTATTAATTTTATCCCTGGCAGAGAGAAGTAGTTCTTCCACTACATCGTTGGTGTGGCACTCATGACAGTGAAGAAAGGGACTGCTTTGCCACAGCAGTGTGCAGGATCTCCAGAGGGCTGTTGCACACTGCTGGATCACTTTTCCCCTCTCTGCTTGCCCAGCTTCTGAAGTCACTAGCACCTCTAGCTTCCTTACCTTACATTAGGTTAGAGTGAGTAAATACTGATGTTCAGCAGACACAGATGAGTTTCTCCCCTCCCTGTCCAGGCTGCTGTAAAGCAAAGGTGAGCAGTTCTTGTCAGCAGAAGAGCCATGGTCAGGCTGCCCTTTGGCTTTTATATATGAAGTGACCTGTGAAACAAGAAAGGGCTTGTGTCTGTGTGCTTTCTAAAAACATGTAAAATAGCCTGAGGCTTTTGCTGTCGTGGTAGTTTGGTTTTAGGATCAACTTGTTTACAGTTTGACTTCCTAAAATCATTGTAAGTACAGACATGACGTTTATCTGTCTGCCTGGCCATCCAGTCGCATCATCACAGAGTTTGAATTGGTTGCGCAATTTTGGCTTAGTCTAAGATGGAGGTCTCCAAAAAGTTAAAACTCCTTGTGAAATACCAGTCTTTAGGGTGAGCACAGTCCTGCACAGGCACCATGCAGGAGCCAAACGTGTGGAGCTGCAGGATGTATTTTTTGGGTATTTGTGTTACCGGCCTCCGTGAGCCCACTAAGGCAGCACAACTGTTGCCTTCCCTCATTCTACTCCTTCAGGGACTGTTCCCTTACACAAGGCATGCCCAAAAAGTCCCAGCTAGGTGTATTGCTGCAGTGCTGGGAGACAGGACACCATCACCACAGACCTACAAACCCCTATCAGTTAATGCTGTAGCCATACCTGCCCTGTCAGGGTGCAGCTACTGGACAGCAGAGTCTTTAAGCTTTTGACTCAAGTCAGGGTTAAAAATGCACACGTAAGCCCAACACCAACTGACATCCCTTCCCCCACAGACTGGCATTTTGAGTTTCTTGCCTGACTTAACCTGGGTGGTCTCTTCATTTGAGGTCACAAAGACCCTTTGTAAATCAGTGGACAGAGGTGTACTCCTGACCTCCCAGGTCTGCATGCACACCACAGCAACTCGACCCTGACACCATGTTACGGGTGAGATCTGTGTGTAAACCAGCTTCTCCCTCTGCCTTTACACCTTGGTTTCTTTAAGCAAAAGTCACAGCCAGCCTACAGCACAGGAAGGACTATTGAGCTCAAGCCTAATCACAAGCAGGATCCTCAGGTGCAGGACAGTGGAGAAGCCCATGGCAGACACCTACACGTCAGTATGGATACAGAGACACAGCGGGGCACTAGTACAAAAGTGCATTGCTACAGGAACAACCAGAGTAGATTTTATTTAATAATTTGTACAAGGAACACAATAGTAATTCAATAATTCCATTTATTAATTGCCAAATAGTAATCCACTGCAATAAGAAACAAAAAATCAACACAAAAAGAAGTTGCCGTTTGTGTGGATATGTGTGGTGTGTGTGTATGTGTGTGTTTGTGTTTAACTTAAATGGCAAGAGCAAGAACAGAAAATTAACTTTTAAATGAGTATGTTATATACAATCAATATCAACATGTTACTTTGCTGGATAGATTTATTTGGTGTTATCCAATCTTACCAACAGGCCTAAACATTGTTGCAAATAACTGGAGGGCAAACCCAAAGCAGAACAATTAACCCATAAATAAGATGCAGGATTCAAGATACCTCCTGCAGAAAATAAACAGTGGTGCTTTGTGTCATATCTGAAACCCTTTCATAATGAATATTTTGTGCTAAAACTCTTTATGTGAACATACATGGAATTCCATCACTTTAAGTGGAAAAAAATCCCAACCTTTCACAACTGCCTTTTTTCCTCCTCCCTTCACTCAATGTGTTTAAATTATTTCTCTATACAAGGTAAGTACATTGTCTGTACAAAGTTAAATATACATATTTACAGTCAAACTTCTGAGACACAGAGTCTTCTCTTCCGCTGACCGAGACGGAAGACAAGCCTACTTGATTTCAAACCCAGGAGCATGGCTAGTTTATCAAAACATTGCAAGTCGTGCTAACAGTTAGTTGTAGTTTACTCTTAATAAATCTGTATAAAAGCATCAGCATAAAAATAGGCATTTTATATTATTAAATACGGCTTATGACAAAATAGCAATCTACCCTTTGCTATTTGTACGGCAGTTGTAGGAAGCAGAGTCTGATAGAACTGGTTTTGTTTAAGCTTTTTCTTAATAACAAAAAGTCTATCAAAAGAGTATTCATAGTGGATTTACAGGCAAACATACAGCCAAGCCATGGGGTTTTTTGGTTTTTTTTCCCTCAAGGAAATACAAATCTATGGGAACTGGTAATAACTGCTGGGAACAGCTTTCCAAATTGATTAGCCTTTTTTGTATGACTAAGAGGCAGCCAAAATGAATGTATTTATTTGACCTACCATGAACACTGTAATCAAAATGAAAAAAAAAAAAAAGGCACCCTCAGTGACACATTGCTCAGATTTATCGGAGCCTCTAAGATTTAATGCTGAGAAAGAAGTCCCGGCATTTCATCCCAAAGCCTATATTAGAAAAGGTGTGTGATCCTTTAGGGCCAGTGACAGGGCAAGAGGAGCAGTGAAAGTGAACAGCCGTAGGACTCATAAACAGGATTTGCCCTCACGGATGTTCTGTTTATTGGTTCTAGTCTTTGTGCAGATAAATGTCAAAGCTAGGCTGATTTCTCTTTAAAAAAACAGGACTCAGTTAATTTTGCACACAATACATTCACACACACACACCCTGCACAAAAGAAAAAACCCTGCAGAGATCAGGAATATGTTATTGAAGGGTTTGGGATTTTTGCGCATTTGCATTATGCTTTGTCTGACCTCTGTGCATTAAACCACCAGTCCCAAACTCCTTTTCCACACAGAGCTCTGCAATTCAATTGTATCAGCTGTCCTCTGCCTCTGCTGGGTCTTAAGATGCATAACATGAAGGAAAACTTTTCTATGGAAATGGAAGGCAGAGAAAAGTGAGTCTTCAGCAGTCTGCCTTTCTTCAAGGCAGAAACTGGGCAGCAAGCCTGTTTCTTGAACTCCTGTTCCTGAACTCCTGTGCCAACCAACGTGAGCAGGGCTGAGTACTGCCCCAAAGCACTACCCTATCTCAACACACAAACAAAACCTATACCATGTGCTTCCCTGAAGCCTTCTCAGAGGTAAGTACTCCGTACAAATTAAGATTATCATCAAAACTCTTACTGGGGAAGGGAGAGGAATACACAAAGGCAGCACTGTAAACTAGAAACTGTCTCTTCTTCAGCAAACAAATCACACCCTGACTCCATGGAAGCAGGGCTACACATTCAACTCAATAGTGTACCACATAACCACATCCTCTTAACACTTCTCATCTCTTGTCTATTACATTCATAAATTGTCTGTTTCTTCACTGTTTAAAAACACCATCTGGAAAGGAATCCCACCATCCTTGTTATGGTGGGATCACTGTTATTTTACAGGTACAGAAGCTTCACGTAGTTGCCTGGGAAGGTGCCAAATTGCCTTGTTCTCCTGGATGTACCTGTTGCAAAATAAAACACAAGGAAGACACAATAAGATGGAGACAAGCAAGAAAGCCTCCAGGGTTTAAAAAGGTACAGGTGGCAACCTCTTCTGCTTGCAGGCATTGATTCCTAATACTAAATAGGAGCCCTAGACAAAGAGTCTTTTGGTACAAACCAAATCACAACTAGTTCTGCTACAAATAATCTCTGGTCATCTCCTTTAATAATTAATAAGGTGCTGGTGAAAGTTCGTGGGCCTATAGGTTAGAAATCAAACACCTCTCAGTGTAAATGAGATAATCTCCCTTAAGAAGAGATGGCAAGCCTAGATTTAAAATGTTGAGATAGAGAACACTGTCCAGACTTGCACACCTTGAAGGTAAAGGATTTTGCTAAACATGCAATTGAGGCCGGATTTTCAGGGACTGCAACTCCTATCCAGGTGCTGTCTTCACCTGCTACTTGCCACTTTCTAACTAGTCATGGCTCCCTCAGCTTTGGAAATGCTACAGAAATCCAGCTTTTCTTGGTT